TATCCCCTGTGTGCCTTGTCGACTTACTTGTATCTCCGATCGGGACGCGAAACTCTGCTCGACCCGGACGTGCGAACTCCCGACAGTATTGCCTCGCACCTACGCGTGCGGTCGCAAACTTCCGCCACATGAAGTTTAACTTTAAGGTCGGAATTAGGCAAAATAGACAAACCAACTTTAGCATCACAGGCACCGATTACATTTATCTTATCATCGGTCAAAGTGCGAAAAGATTCAATAACGGAATTGTCGGCAAGAAAATTATGACCATTGAAAATATTATAAATCGAAGATAATATAAACGAGGGCTACCCGTGTCCACAAGAGCTTTTAAATGACAAGAAACACCGTTGTACGAGTCGACATCGATAATAGAATTATCTAAAGTAAGTTTTCTTACGGAATTTTCTGAAACGCACGCAACCTGATTCGAAGGAGTTTTCGCTTCCTCGGGGGACGAAGGCTTGGAGGTTGAAGGGGTTGACGACGAGTCGACCAGGCCTCTACGTTGAAGCTTGAAGCAGTTGGCTTTCAGGTGTCCCTTGGCCCTGCAGTACGAACACGATATCCCCGTGGCTGGAGCCCTTGACGCTTGCGTTGACGATGGAGAGGGGGAAGACGCTTCCTTCGCCCTTTCCTTATCCTTTTCGTTTTTTATAGGAGGAGATGGTTTCTTTGAAACAATGCCGCAGGTAGAAATGATCTTCGACATCTCTTCGAGAAAGTCATCGACGGTCTGTGCTCTTAGTACCGCCGCAGAACTTCGTAATGATAGGCTGTTGATGCCATCAATGATAAGCTGAATTCGATCATTCTCCGAAAGTTGTAAAGTGTGCATCAACTTGAGTTTTTGTTGAGCATAATCCTGAAAGGATTCTTTCGGGTAATTCCATTTACATGCTTCCACATTTTGCATAACAACGTGAAATGGAACGTAGCGTTTAAAGCGACGAATAATTGATTCCTTAAACGCAGACCAAGAATCGTTGATTTGGCCTGAATCTAGATCGAACCAGTCACGAGCATTCTTGAGTAGTTTGCTCGAGGCAGCAAGTAGGGTGACACCCTCGTTTGCTCCGTGAATAACTGCCAAGCGATCCACTTTACGGATCCAAACTTCAACATCTTCATCGGCTGTACCGCTGAAAGACGGGATTTGTGAAGATAATATTTTAATGGCCTGGGGATTGGCCAGATTTCCCAACAAGGTTGACTCGTTGCGAGACGCGGATGGCGTGGTCGACGGGAACACTACCGGAGCTTGAACTTGTGCACTGCCAAGTTGAACCATCCATTGCGAGAACTGAGCCATCATCTCTTGATTTTGACGCATTTGATTCGTGAGTAACTGGAACATCTGATTGCCAGATAAGCCCGCGGCTTGAGCTGTCGCAGAGCCTGGTGAAGGATTAACTGTAGGAGGACGTGTCAACGTTGTTCTTGATTTCGATGCGCCGGCTGACGGTGTCGTACGAGGCGTAAGCCTGTCAGACGTTTCCGAAAGGGTACCTCCAGTAGGCGGAGTGACTTGACTCTCCTTTCTTGGTGTATGATGACGCTCGAAGAAGCTCATTAACGCGTCGATACATTTTTCGCGCGTGTCCATAACCGGAGGTTTGTAATAGGTGATCCTTTGCTCAAGCTCCTCAGTCGAAAGAGTGTCTAGTAGTTGGCGATTCATTTCCATAGATGTCAGCAACACAGTCGGTGTAGAGATTACCGATGCGCTCCGCGCTAACAGTCACTGCGTCGAGATGGCGTTAATACACGCGCGAACTTGTCGGCATGCGTACCCGAGATGCGAGCCAATATGGCTGCCGAAAACCGTCGCACTGGCGCGAACGATGAAAAATGGCGGAGTCCGATGACCGGCCACGTGGTCGGCGTAAACTATGCCGATGAGCGAACGCTGACTGTGGCGATCACTCTCGATGCGATTACGAGCCCGAAGGCGACGAACACGGACACCGTTATGTGAACGTGGTGATGAGCCCGAAGGCGACAAACGAGCGGCGATCACTCGCGAACGCGGGAACAAGCCCGAAGGCGACGAACACGATCACTGTTGTGTGAACGTGGTGATGAGCCCGAAGGCGACAAACGCGCGGCTATCACTCGCGAACGCGGGAACGAGCCCGAAGGCGACGAACACGATCCCCAGTGAGAAACAATTTGTCGACCCGACGTCGATTCGACGTCGAAAAGTGGGTTCGAAATGAGATCGAAATTGACATCGACATCGATGTCTTTTTGACTCCCACGTCGACCTCCTGTCGATTCAAACTGCGAAATCGATTTGACATTGATCATAAATCAAAATCCTGCCCAAGGAGAACAGAAAGATCAAAATGACATAAAAATAAGATCAAATTTTAGTTTGTCAAAATAATGTCAAATTGCATAAATTTTTGATGTATTCTTGATCATTCCTTGAATGAGAAATGATCGCCAATTCGATATACTTATTTACGGAAATTTCTAAAGCGGTCACCCATCCAAGCCATGAACCTTCTGAAACGTGCTTAACCTTGTGATCGTCCGAGAACCGATGTTCCGATGACCTATAAATATTAATTGCTAATAAAAGTATACCAATGGTATAAATCTTTTTAATAGATGTCAAAAAGATGGAATATGTATTAGTTAAGATATATTTTGTCTATAAATATAAAGTTTGCATATATAAAATATTAACAAATATGAAGTTACAATTTTTACTGAAACTTAATTTTGTATATGCGAAATGGCATTTGAAATTAAAAATAAATACTTGCCATATATATATATATATACAATCGAGAAACATTCACATTTTTTTTTAAATAAAAAAAATCGACACTATAAAAAAAAGTCAATATAAAGTCATTCTTTAGTCATTTGAAATCTAGATTGAAATCTAGATTAGAAATCTAGATTTTATAATGTAAAAAATGACGTAAATTCGGTCAATTTAACGTTAAATTGATATTATTTTGACTTTTCTGTTCTTTGGATCGATTCGATGTCGATTCGACGTATTTTCGACCAATTATTTCTCACTGGGTATATATGCATGATTAACTTTTAATTTTAGACTAATTTTGGGTTTTGGACATTGGTAACTTGGAAACAAGTATTTTTTGATGTCAAAACAATTTGATCGAAATGGTCTGATTTTCGATGTCAATTTCGATTCGATGAGTTTTCGATGACATCGACATCGAAACGACGTCGATTCGACATCAGCCTTCTCACTGGGTCACTGTTGTGTGAACGTGGTGATGAGCCCGAAGGCGACAAACGCGCGGCGATCACTCGCGAACGCGGGAACGAGCCCGAAGGCGACGAACACGGTCACTGTTGTGTGAACGTGGTGATGAGCCCGAAGGCGACAAACGCGCGGCGATCACTCGCGAACGCGGGAACAAGCCCGAAGGCGACGAACACGGTCACTGTTATGTGAACGTGGTGAGAAGCGCGCACACTGCGCGTTACACAACCTGTGCACGAGTGTCGGGAAAGGAGGACGGACAGGCGACTTCCGAGCCCGCAAGGAAAAAGGCGGGAAGGAGGGTGCATCCCACTTCTGAGCTGAAAGGATATTACCAGCGGGTTTTATTACCGCGAAAGGATGTAGAGATATTTGTCAGGAATATTGGAGGAACGTAACTAGGGTAGACACTCGTGAGACACAGCAATTAACAGAACACAGATTTATTCAGGTAACACGAAAAAGGCGCTCGACTCGCGAGGCATAATGGTTGAGATCTTCGCTCGTTGACAAAAAACTTAAGACTGTTCCACCGTCTCCAAGCGGAAACGATATTATGGCAAAAGAATCACATGCGCCAATCAGAGAACGCCAAGGCGTCACGTGGCCCGTCGCGCAGGCGCAGCACGTACGCGGGATGAGTCCGCCAATCGCGAAGCGATCACGAGAACAACTAGCGCCGCGGAACAGAAGCGCTACCAATTGCCAACTTGAAACAGAAATACCACTGCTGGGGAAAATAACTAGGCGAACTGGCCATTTCTAGAGTCGTAGATTATCAGAGAAGCGCGATCGGCTTATGGCAGTATCGCAAAAGTACTAGAAAATATTAAAAATGGCGTCGAATGGCCAATCATAAGTTTGATTTATTCGGCAGCCATTTATAATAGCGATAAATCAATCTTATGATTGGCCATTTGCGTGTCCAATCAGGACTCGTAACACCGGTCGCGCTTCTCTGATAATCTAGGACTCTAGCCATTTCTTACACTTGTTACTGGATAAATTACCAGATGTAGCCAGCGCTAGATATAGTAATTTATCCAGTAACAAGCAACTAGGATGAAAGTCACTAAAGGGACGTTCATGATTTGCCGCCCGTACGCACATCACATCGCAGCATTATTTCGTGCTTCGTATGA